TTCACCTGGTACAGAAGAAGAAAGCGCTCTGGTTTCCTGTGAGGCAGTTATTTCCCTGGGCCATGAAGATGAGCCTTTCTCTAATTGAGATCTTGAGTTAGACGAGCAAACTCCTGAGGAGAGAGTGTTGATTGTGTCCCTTTGAGGGTGTCAATAAGGTATGGAAGTAATGTGATTTGTTTTAGTCTTCTGTCTTGACTAGGCGGAAAAACATCAAGGCCTGGTCCATGCTGCAAACTTTCACCATGTCTGAATGTAGTTCCCAGTGCTAGTATTAGGTGACACAATGCTGAATAGGGTTTGGTGGGCAGAGTAGATCGGCACCTTTTGTGTCAGTTAACACAATTGTTGGCAGCCATGTTTGAGCATGGTAATGTTTTGTAGTGTGGCCCAAGTCCAGCTCCTTCTTCATGATATAAACAGTTATAAATGAGAGCATAGCAACAGCTCTGTCTTGGATAATGAAAACAATATGGTGGTTTGTAAATGTTTTATTTTCCATCCTCAGGTTAACCTACACTGTCTCTCTTCAGTGTGTTTTTTCTCTTTAAAAAAGCAGACATGCAGAACCTCATTAAAACTGTTTTTATTTGAAGCATGGTTGTTTATAATGTTAAGCATAAACCACTCCTTAGCAGCCCAAAGGAAATAGCAGTTTGCTCAAGAGAGAGAACATATATTGTTTGAGCAGTTAAATTTGTTTCAAGTGCTGCTCCAGGAGAACAAAGCCCTTAGCAATAAGGGGACATCTTTCTCTCCTAACTTCGTTCGTTGTCTTGTATCCCAGTCAATCATGTATGGTAGACAGAACCTTTAAACTCATTAGGAGCGAGCCTTCTGACATTTGGACGCTTCGAACATTTAGCAAAAGCCTGTTAAAACTAGATGGTGCAACATACAAGAGATGTGCTATGTGTAATTTTGACAGTTGTGTATTTTGGCAGTATTTCTATTTCCTATTTTTTGCTGTGCTCCTGACCTGCTCAGGAGATGTCGTGCGGGGGGGGAGGGAGAGGGGGTTGTTGCTGTTGGTTTTTATTTTGTTTTGTTTTTTGTGCCCTGTTCCAAAAGCTGCTGTGCAGAATGAGAGTGCGACTCTCTTCATCTGTGTGTTCTCTGCGTGCTGCTCTGCTAGAGCTTGTCACGTGAAGAGAGTAAAAACAGAGAAGCCAGGAGGTGGCACAAATGAGATGGTTGGCTGGCTGGCTAGCTAGCTGCCCAGCAGCTTCCAGGTCAGGAAACCCTCCAGCACTCACTTTCTGTGTGATTAAATTGATCTATTTGGTGGCGGTGTTGTGCTGTTGCCCATCACTGGAGCATCTGAACACCTTCCGTGTAAAATAGATTGGGAACAGTAACATCCCTGATGTACTTCATGAAGTCTCTGGCTCCTTCTTATAGAAAGTTCTGCTGGTGTAGGATTTTGAGTGGGAGTGGATGGTTGGAACAGGAGGTGGTTTGAAGTTGTGACCGTCAGTTATGGAGGAAAAGCGTTATTAAAGAGGAAGTGATTGCAACATTCCTAAAGGCTTTTAGACTCTGAAGTCATCTCCTGTCCTCCAGAAGTTCCTTCTACAGCCAAATCTGCTTGGGAATACTTTGTCCCTGGTTCTGGCATACTTCATGCTGGGCTTTATGAGCTGCATTGTTCCTGACTGTCCTGGTGGCAGATGGCTGGCAATGCAGTATGTAACATAGGTGCGTGCGGATCCATTCCTGGCTTTGATGATTATGACCAAGGCTCTAAACTCGGAGCAGCAGCTGTCTGGGGGACCGAGGAGGAACTGGCGCAAAGACTAGATACATCCACAGTGGCCTAAGCCATGAAGGTGATTACTGCCACATTTTATACCAGCTGGAGTCTGAGGGCTGTTCTCACCCTCACATCCTGATATAGTGAATGACAGGAATCCTGCAGGACCAGCCTGGCCAGGTCCTCATCCCGGAGGGAGAAGCAAAGGTTCCTAGCAAGCAGGTGGCGGAAGAGGGATTTTAGTTATTGGCGCTGGCATGGCATCCAGCCTCATTGGCGAGTCAGACAGGATCCCGAGGCTTCATGTCGCTCTGACACACGGGGCTGTGCGCCTTCCAGGGGCAGGCGGGACTGTCCCTACTAGTTCTCCAAAGTATCACCTTGCCGAACAGCTTCGCTTCAGCGGGAAATGGGAGGGTTACCTGGGGTATGGGGCCCGGAATATAACATACCCTAGAGCTGCATTCCTGGGCTGGGGGGTTAATGGAGGGGTAAAGAGATGTGCCCGGTGAGGGAGAAATGGGTGCCTCATACTGCAGTAGTTAAGAGGGAGGAGGGCTAGTTAATGGTACCCAAGGCAGTTCCCTGCCCCACGTTTAAAGTGCTGCGCAGACATTAATGTTCAAGCACCTTGTGAAGTAGGTGTTATCCCCCCGGGAATAAAAGGGGGAAACAAGCAGCCAAGTTAAGAGCTTGATTACACCTCTCAGCAAGCTGAGGGAGCTGGGGTTGGGGAGACCAGGTTCCCAGGCCTGCCCAGAAATGCCTCTTTTGGTGCCTCCTTCCTGGCTGGCATCATCCATGTCTCCTCTCCCCTACACAGCCAGCCCAATGGCTACTGCAGTCTCCTGGCACCATCTCTTCTCCCCCAGCCCATCCGTGCACCCTGGCTGGTGATGTGTCCAAGAGCTCACAGTCTGTGCCAGTGGCAGAGCTAGGGATAGAACACAGTGGTTCCTGGCTCCTGCCTTGTGGTTATTTCATCGGACAATGCAACTTCCTTATGGGCAGGGGAAACAGGTGTCCAGTGCTGGAGTAATGGAATGAGGGTTGGAGGAGAGCGAGGAGAGAATTGGATGCTCTGTAATGCAGGAATTGGTGAGGAAGAGAGGTAATGGAGGGGACCTCAGGAACTGCTGAGCAACTTCTCTTCTCTGGCACGGTGGAACTTTCTACAATAAGGATAGAGAGAGAGCTTCTTGGGGGCTGGGCTGAGACGGCAGAATAAGCTCCTACAGGAGCAAAGGGCCATCCCAAACCTCGCTGTCTTCCACTCTCAGCACAAAGTGTATTGCTTTGACTTTGCCTTCTCTACCCTAAACATATTATGAACTGTGTGTGTATATTGGAAAAAAAAAAATCCAGAACACAACACTCCTCTGCCCACTCATCTCCCCCTGGGGAGAGAAAAAATGGGCCAGACATTAGTCATGTTACTTAATGCACCCCTGGAAGGGGCCCAGATACTGCGGTGATGAACTTGGTACGGGAACCTATATAGACTAGCATAGAGGTGGAGGAGAACCCAGAAATCCAAACAGAGGGAATGTGCCCCCAGCACTGCCATAACTGGGGGGATGAGGGACTGGGGAGAAGAGATGGGGGAAAGGAAAAAGGACCTTGCAGTAACTGGTAAAGAAGTTGGAAGAGGGATGGCAGGGTGGCACTGATCATGCAGCAGTGGGGGGAGCTCGGGATGTTTCATTGGCTTCCCAAACTCAGTTACGACAAATTTTTTGCTCTTTGTGTTGTCATGTTTTCTATAGCAGGGGGCTGTAGCAATGGGCAATGGCCTCGGCCGCTGCTCACAGTAGCTACCTGTTGAGAAGTTTGCTAGGTCTGATGCCATCTTGAATGTTCCCATTTGTAATGCTGTTCTGGAATTTCGCTCCCCAATAGCGATTGGAAGAAAGTTGATGGTAAGAGGCCTTATGAGCGTCAAACAGCTGCCCAGAATCGGTTTACCAAACCAAACCGTATCCTGCTGGAGTTCGGTACTGCATATTCAAAGAATAGATTCAAGCTTTAGGATGCTGGAGCATAACTATGTTTTCCAGGTGACTTGCACCCCATCGCTGAGAGAGTGTTTGGTGCATGACACCCCCTCCGGACCAGCCCCCAAACTGTTCTTAGTGACTATCGTCAACTGTATTCTGGCAAATAAGACAGGGATGTGGTAGTAGCAGGGAAGGTGGGAACAGAGTAAAAACTGGCCATTCTTCAAAGAAGCAGACTGAGAATGGCAAACACTTAAACAAAGTGCATTTTATTTTCCCCGGATTAGATACAAATCATATCTCTGACCCTTCCCATAAACGTCTGCTTTTGGCCTTGTCAAAGAATAATAGCCTCAATAGATGAAACTGCAGTGTTACAGCGCTGGTTCATTTCCAACAGGCCTGGCTTTAGGATTTTGGGGGTTTGAAGGGAGTCTGTGTTTGGGTACAGGGAGCTAAACCCAAAGTCTCTTTTTTCCACCCTGCCATGGGTGGTGGGAATAATACGCCAGGGAAGGCTAAGCCTCCCCTGGTGCAGCTGCCGGTGACCTGCCGCTGGACACCTGGGCCGTGGTGGCCTCACCTCTTCCCTGAGGCCCCCACTGCCTGCTGCTGCTCCCTGGTGAGTCTTCTTCCTCTCCTCTCCTTCCCTCCATTTCCCCCCGGGGGTCCCCGCTGCTTGCTGCCTCCCTCCTCACTCCCCCTCCCCCATGGGAGTGGAGGGTGAGGAGGGATGTGGCAGGCTGGGTCTTGCGGTGGGTGGGGGAGTGAGGAGGTGGCGGGCAGGAGGGGTCTCATGGTGGGTGATGAAATGAGGAGGCAAGCAGCAGCAGGTCGGGGAGTGAGAAGGCAAGTGGCGGTGGGTGAGGAGGAACACAGCAGGCAGGGGGGTCTTGCAGTGGGTGGGGGAGTGAGGAGGTGAGCGTGGCAGGCAGGGGGATGAGGAGGGATGCGACGGGTGGGGGGTGAGAAGGCGAACGATGGTTGGACAGGTGGGTCTCATGGCGGGCAGTGAAATGAGGCAAGTGGTGGCAGGCGGGCATGAGGAGGGATGCGGTGGAGTGAGGTGAGTGGCAGTAGGCGGGGGGTGAGGAGAGATGCGGCAGGTGGAAGGGATCTTGCGGTGGGTGGTGGAGTGGGGAGGTGAGCAGCGGTGGGTGGGGGGTATCATGGTGGGCAGGGATGAGCGGGGACATGGTGGATGGTGGAGTGAGGAGGTGACTGGCTGTGGGTGGCGGGGTGAGGAGGCGAGAGGCGGTGGGGATGAGGAGGGATGCAAGGAGTGGTGTGTGGGGAAGTTCGTGGGGGTGTCTCGCAGCGGGCGGGGGAGTGAGTAGAGATGTGGTGGGCGGCAGCAGGGGGGGCCGAGCAGGGTGGAATGGGTGGAGTGTGGGTGGGGCTGCAGGTGGAAGAGGTGGGACAAGGAGCTAGCCTCCCCCAGGGGAAGCTTCATCCACTGCCCATGTATCCCACCCCAGTTAGTTTAAAGGAGGATTACAGCTCTGGGTTCTGGCTCAGGCTTTGCAAGGCTGTTTAGGACTCCTATCCCTCTCTCTAGATCCTACAGCATGGACTCACAAACTAGTGAGTGCTGAACTGGCAGTTATCATAGGGTGCGTCACTCTGTGGAAAGGTTCTGCTAACCCAAGGCAACACAGGTGAAGCTGGGCTCATGCTTCCTTATTCAGCTAACACCTTATGACATGTATAATAAATGTAGTTGTGCCATGGGGTGGTTATATTTAAGTAAATGTGTCAGGCTTTACATGTGGGTTTGCTGTGGGATAAATTAGCCCCTCACAAATGGTATTAAAATAACAGCTGTTCAACATTTATAGTAATAGGGCAGCAGGAGCAGCTGGGCCTGAATCGCAGTTCATGGACTTGCACGCTTACCCGATCCTTTACATACTGGGCACCACCCTTATAGTTCTTATAGAGCCACTGCCTTCCATCACAAGTCCCTCCTTTTTCTCTTCTGTACAGCAGAGCCCTGAAGAACAGCACTAAAATGAGGGGATTCTGTGTTACGCTCCCTAACGAGATTGCTTCCTCTCTCCATTTATCTTGTCTCCAACCTGAGATTCCCTTTAAGGCATTTCAGATGCTATTGAGTCTTCCCTCTGGACTTATAACAAAGGACTTTTGACAGTATTGTTTTCCAACTCCAGTTTTCTCTTGCTAGGTGTTTTTCCGGTAACCCCAGGGCATGAGGAATGCTAGATCTCTGTGCCATGCTCCTCTCCATTGACTTGGATGCCGTTCTTGGCATTTGTCCTCTCCAGAGCCAACTTTATGTCCAGTTCTCTCAGCTGTTTCAGGAAGCCACGGTTTGGGAGGATGCATCGGTGCTTCAGCACTTGCTCAATGGCATCAACCACTGTCATGTTCTTGTAAATCATCAGGTAAGCCAAGACCAAGGTGGCGGATCGGCTGCGTCCCATGGCACAATGAACCAAGATCTTGTCTGCACAAGTGAAGAGAGCAAATACAGAGAAGGCTTTCAGATTTACCAATAATAAACACTCTCCCCTTCTCTCGGGCCTTCCGCCCAGAGATCTTAGTGCTTCACAGCCATTAATATGCTTTACAGCCTCCTTGCAGGGCAGGTAAATACCATCCTCTTGTACAGGCAGGGACTGTGAAGCACAGAGAGGTCAAGTGACTTGCTCAAGGTCACCCAGTGAGTCCCATTATAGAATCTGGATCTCCTAATGCTTTAACTGGAGGATTGCCAATTTACAGCCAGGCAGGATGGGCTGCAATGCGACAGTAGGTAACCAGCTAAGCCAAGCTACAGCTTCCCCTTTATTGGGCTCCCACTGATCCATGATTTACTGTGCTTCACTCATTCTGCTGAATCAAGGAGTGTGTGCTCTCTGGGTGGGGGGCAGAATTAGGAGGCAGAGGTCCAGCGCCAGCGAGGTCCTGATGAACCAGATACTCATGCCCTCCAGGAGGATGAAAAGGATGTGTCCAGTTGCTCCCTACCAATACTTAGTAATATAATACTTCGTCCTGCCATGAGTGCAGGGGACTGGACTAGATGACCGCTCAAGATCCCTTCCAGTCCTAGGAGCCTATGAATACCAGGGGCCAGAGAGGAAGGATGACTCAGTAGTTAGTTCCCTGCTCTGCCTCAGACTTTTGGTGTGACCTTGGACGAATCACTTAATCCCCCTGTGTCTCATCTGGGGATGGCAATTCCTTTCATCCCACCCTGTTCGTCTTGTCTGGTTAGATTTTAGCTCTTGGGATCGGGGTTGTCTCTTACTGCGTATAGGCAGCTCTAGCACAATGAGGTGTCAGTCTCTGCCAGAGCCTCTCGGGGCTGCTGTAAGGCAAATGAATGAGAGTGGGATGTCCCCCACTGGCAGCAGCCAGGGGCCGGTGGAGGAGAGTGAGTGGTACTGGGCCCTTCCATGTGCTGCAGGAACTGATGCAAAGGCTTGTGGGCTACAAAACCTTGGAAGGAGAAAAGCTGGGGTGGAGTTTTGCAAGTCTCAGAGCCCGGGTCGACCGACTCAGGCTTGTGTATGGCAGGAGAGATCCTGCTCAGGCTCTGAAACCTGGCGAGGAGGGTGGGTCTCAGAGCCCGAGCTCCAGTCCTAGCAGGAACGTCTACACTACAAGTTGCAGCACCGTAGTGTGAACCCCAGGAGCCTAAGTCCGTAGACCTGGGCTCTGAGACTAGCTGCCATGGAGTTTTTGGTTTTTTTTTTTTAAATCAGTGTACCCTGATAAAGGCAGCATCTGAAGTTCTGTCTACCACAACCTCCTATGGTCAAATAACACCACAAACACCATTGCAAGGCCAGAGGCATTTTTACTTTGTCGGCTACATCCGGTGGGGCCAGGCTTCGACTCCTAGCAATTCGTTCCTTGATGCTGGGAGTGGAGGGAATGATTTCCTGGCAGGAGCAGCACTGCTGTGTCATGGACACATCAAGAACTGCCAGCACAAGGGGATTAATGGTCACAGCTTGCATCCTAATCCCAGCAGATAGTTGTAGAGGCATCATGGCAGATTTCCAGCCTCACTGATAACAGAGAATGATAATCCCTTCTATCATTACTCTGAATATCTGAAACAGATGAAAACTCCCATTTGTTCAGCCCTTCACTCTTGCTCGAGCCTCCGGTTTGTAAATGGGCTGGGGCAGAATGGTGGAGTAAATAACTGACAGGAGGGGAAGGCTGAGGGACAAAGGCTTTGCTTGAGGAGCTGGGAAACAGAGAAGAACTTTCTGTGCATCAGTGGCAAGAGGAGAACCTGTATTTTATATCATGTAAAGGAGGGAGAAAAATGTGCATGTCTCTTTGGAAATTGCAAGGATGGAGAACTTGTCTGCTGTGCGTGAACATTAAAGATCCTGGAGGACTTTCCATAAACATGGGAACTTTCTCTGTCCTGCAGGGCCCAATTGTGCAGTGTGTGGCTGGGTGAAGTGATGCCTGTTTGTGTGTTGCTGTTCAAATGCTTTGGAGTGCTAATCTATCTTGCTAAGCTCCTTGTATGGCCATAGTATCTGGATGCCTCACAATCTTACTGTATTTATCCTCACAACCCCTCTGGGAGGTCAGGAAGTGCTATTATCTCCATCATACAGATGGGGAGCCAGGGCAAAGAAAGACTAAGTGATTTGCCTGGGGTCATACGGCAAGTCTGTGGCAGAGCAAAGAATCAAACCTAGGTTTCCCAAGCTAGTGCCCTGGCCCCTGAACCATCCTTTCTCTACTACTTACTCCAAAGTCTGGGTTAGGAACCTGAGGGGCATTAACAAGACAAACATGCTGGGTGATTCTACTCCTAGGATGCCTGGAATTAAGTTAAGCATGTGAAAGAAGTGTCAGCTTGCTATGCTAGGTGGCTAAACAGAGACTGGTCTTTATCGAACAGGGTAGTTATGTACTCTTGTGTACGCTTTCTTTAAGGCTGATCCCTTGAACTGATGGGAGTATGTGCTGCTTGGCTAACTGCCTCTTATCTCTTCACATGTCCTATGTCTGTAGCCCACTATTTGAATGGGGAAAATGAACACTTCAATACTTCTGAAACCGCTGTATCAGCAAAAAAAGGCCCTAAGTCTATTGCAAGTGTATGTTTGACTGAATGCATTAAAATGACCATCCCCATCTGGACAAGAAGGTGAGGCTTAATGGTGCCATACTTGGCTGCAGTATGAGTAACATGTATTCAGTGCCCCTTGTTTCCCCAACATGAATTTATTTGCATTCTTGTCCTCTTTTCTCCAGGGCTACTACAGGCAATGGTTATCTTTATATCGCTAGTGTATGTAAGAACAAAACAACTCTCTGTCCTTGTTATTCAAACACCTTACCAATGCAGCAGCCAGAAGAACAGCTACATACAGAAGTGTCAGCGTTACACATTTAGTTACTCTTGAATTCAGAGGTATTTTTAATAAGTGAATCATTCCATTCTCTGAGTCGGGCTTCTGTTTCATTGCTGCATTGATGCTTGGTCGAGCCTCAAGACTTCATGAGTGTTTGACACAGCCTTTAAACTGGAAGCTTTGAAGCTTGAGCCTTGCAAACTGCTTTGAGTCTCTCCCCCTACCGTTTATCAGTACACAAGGCACACTAGACTTCTCAGGGCTTGTCTATATGGAGCAGCAATGCGCACGACAGGGCTTTGATTTCTAAAGTGCACTAGTGTGCTGTGCACTAACAGGTCCATGTAGACCCTGCTTGTGCACTTTAATGTAGTGCTGTTGAAACAGTCCTTCTCTCTTGACTTCTGTGTGTTTACCATGTTTTTCATGCTGTGATGCGGGAACAGGAAGGGAAGGCTGCAGGATGGGGAAGTGAAAGCTATTAAGGACTTGTCTGCACAAACATTTTGTTCGTGGCATGCTGGGGTGTGACTGTACCCCACACAAACCTGCTGTGGACTAGTTGTCCGGGTGCACCCTGCTGGCACATGCTCAAAGTGCTCTAAAGAACTGTTAACAAGTCCCATTTTAAAGAAGACTGGAGCAAAGCATTCTAATGAACTCAACGCGTGTCAGCAGGGAGCACGCAGATAGTTAATCTGTGGCAGGGTAGTGTGGGCTAGATTCACACCCCAGCTTGCCACAAACTACATGTTTGTGTAGACGAGCTCTTTAGGCCTAAGTCCCTCTCTAGGAATGTGATTAGAAGTGAGGCTAGAGATCAGACGCTTTCAGCCACCCAGAAAATCTAACTATTTCCCACTTTTTCCAGAAGCAGTACTTGGGTGGAGTCTTGTCAATTTTAAGTAGCTTCCTTCACCTATGGACCTCTCTTCCTTCTAAGAACATCAAATCTTAAAGCAACATATAATGCTACTGGCACTTCAGTTTTAAAATAGTGATGATTTATTGTCTTTCTGCCTTAACAAGGGGCAAATTCTGTAGCTGAGGACTGTACTTGTTCAAAGCTTAAGACCTGGCTGGTTATTGGGGGTATGCCAGGTAACCAGCAGCTGCTGATCTAAACAGCCAAGAACACAAGTTGACAAGAGGTTGGAAACTTGATATGTGGCCCTCTGATATTAAAGGCTTTGTAGGTCAGCAGGAGGATCTTAAGTTTCTCTGCTGGCTCCTGGTAAAACACCCTGTTGAGATTTTTTTAAAAATAAGAACCGGAGTAAATGTTGAAAGACAGTGTGGGGTCGCGGCTGTGGTGCTTCACATCAGCTTAAACCCTTAGCTAGAACACTGCTGGAGGTCAGCAAATAATGAAGTGTAGTAATCAAGCTGGGAAATTACAAAGGCTTTAACTAATGTTTCCAGATCTGTGCTGTCAAAGTGATTTCAGTCTCCTACGGCTTGGAAGATGACAAAAATAAATCCCTGTTACAGCTTGGAGATGATCTGATGGCAAAAGTACTAAAGTGCTTTGATATGTCTCTATAGCAAACCTAATGCTTTAGTGTAAGAAATGTTGAAGTGACAGGCTTGGAGACTGGAGTCCTACATACGCAGGATAAGTACAGCCTGGGCAGATGCCCTGCTAATAGGCCTCACAGCTAACTGGAAAGGGACCACCTCTAGGAATGGCAGACTAGCTCCGTGGCCCATTGAGTTCACGACTTTCCTCCTGAGATTGTTTGCTTCATAGGAGTGTAAAATGAGTGCTGCTTGTGCTAGGGACACCTGTCTGCCAGGGAGATAGCTGCTTAACATTGGCCCATCAGGAGGTAAGGACTCTTGGATTGCTACCAAATCCCATTGATTTGAATGGCTGACCTGGCTGTGAGATGACCTGAACCCTATACCAGCATTGACTTTCCCGAAATGACCAGCTCCATTATTAGCCATTGCTTGTTTGTCCTCTGCCGGTGGTCCTTGACTGTCTCTGCCTGTTTCACCCCCTGGCAGTGGCTACTTTTGATGAATACTCATGTTCACTGAGATCAACTGTAGCAAACAAGGTCTTTCTGACCGTACTCTGCCCCCTCCTTACTTCTCTGATCTTGGAGTGCAGTTTCAATGAATTCAGCAGCTGAATAAAAGAACTGGCTGAGGTTGAAGGTGGTGAGATCATCTGCTTCTACCCCATGGTACTCAATGGCCATGTCACTGTAGTAATCTGGTCCTGTGTCCACATTCCACCGGCCATGGGCTGCATTGAGGATGTGGGTGAAGCCGGCTTTCTCAAGGCTGTAGCGATCTAATGCAGTTTTCCTGTTAAACAAATGTCACTGTCAGGTGTGTGAATGGAGCTCTCTCATGCTGCATCCGCTCAGAAATATTTCTTTTATTTCGCAAGTGATAAACCACAACAACACTGACGATACTTCAAAAAAAACAGTCTGATCCCCTGCCTACACAATACCTTTCATCCCAGGATGTCACAAACTGAGCTGCCTAGCAGCCATATGCTGTGAGCTGTTATTGGTTCTACCCATTTTACAGGGGGGGAAACTTGAGCTAGCTACAGAGAGGTTAAGTTGACTTGTCCAAGGTCGCAAACTGAGTGAGCGGCAGAGCTAGAAATAGAACCCATTAATCCTTCCTCCCACTCCTTGGCTCTAACCATCTGACACATTCTCTCACAGCATTTAATATGACAGGACTAATCAAAGAGTCAGTTACAAATGAGGATTAAATTCAGCTAGGGTTCACATGGCTCTTACTACCTCTGAAAGAAATGCAACCGCTAGGATTTTTCCCTTCTACACTTAGAGGAAAAAACTTGTTCATGCTCATGTGTCCAGAGGGTCTAGAAGCTCTGTCAGTCTCCTCCTTGCTCCCATGTACTAACGGATCACATTAAGGTGTCTCAAGACAAAAGCACTATACCCGAAGGTCACATATCAGCCATTGATTTAGAGCTGTAACCTCTTTAGAGAAGTAAAAGGGGAGTGAAGAGGAATTGGCGCCTGGGATGAGGGGGAATCTATTGGGTGGGGGTGGGAATGAAACTGAAAATATTCAAGCTTCTTAAACTGGTCGGGATGTGCAAAGTTAATGCTTCCCTTTCCATGCTCAGGCACCCAGGCGTGCTGAGGACAGGACTAGTGGCAGTCCAACCTTCAGTAAACCTGTTGATAAGAACAACCTATTGTTATTTATTATTATTAATGTGGCCCTCTTGCTTAGGAGCCCTAGTCATGGATCAGGGCCCCACTGTGCTAGGCGCTGTACAAACACCCAGCAAACAGATGGGCCCTGTAAAGATTGTAAGGACCCAGTATGGTGGTTGTTATGTTTTTAATATGAATCCTTTATCCTTTCTTCCTAACCCTGTTGGCTAGCAGATACAAAAAGGAAATTCTAATTGTACTCCGCTGTACCCAAGCGCACACAAGTGTGGTTGAGAATTCCTTGAGGGATGCAGAAGAGCTGCTGCTGCATCAAGGCACATAGCTCTAATTGCTCCCACACAAGAGCATTGTTTAGCAGCAGTGTCTAATAAGCTGTGTGTTTTATACATGGTAAGACTGTGCGGTCAGTTTCTACTGTTGTTACCGTGGGCTCTTTGTTTTGGTGGGTTAGCACAATCTAGCAGAGTCCCCAGAACAATTACACGGCCGCGAGCTCAGTGAACAATAGAGACACAGCATTGTTATTGGAGGAGAGCCCAGAGTCAGTGCAGTCTCCTGCTGCCGCTACTGCTCAAACACACTTTCATCTACTCCCCCAGGCAGGAAGTATGCTCACCCCCCTGAACTTCCTCTCAGAGCTACTTCCCGAGATGGTTAGGAGGAGCCACGGAACTGGGTGAAATTTTTCGACTGAAATTTTTTGGGGAAAAATGCGGATTTTGGTTGACTGAAACATTTTGTGGCTTTGTGTACAATATGTCAAACTGATTCAGAGGAAAATAAAACTAAAAATAATTCCAAACAAATCTAAACATTTCATTTCTATACTAACTGTTTCACGTTTTTTGATTCAGAATGACTTTCAAAATTTACTTGTTTTATTTTTATAAATTTAAAAACATTTAAAACGCTCAGAAGCAAAACATTTCAGCCGATGTTGAACAAAATGTTTCATTTGACCCAAAACCGTTTTTTTCTGACTACTTGATTTGCTGAAAATTTCAAAAATAATTTGTTTTCGGATCAACCCAAGATGGTAATTTTTTTTTCAGAATTGCCAGTGAACTGAGAAATTATTTACAGTTCATACAACTTGAGTGCCCCGCTCGTTGGGGGCTCCATGTAGATGTGCCCCACATAGAGACCTAGCGAGCACAGAGTAACTCCGTTACAATACTATCAAAAAGATTGATACTTTAAACAGGGCTGGCTCCAGGTTTTTTGCCGCCCCAAGCAAAAAAAGAAAAAAAAAGGGGGGGGGGGGGGGGGTGCCGCCACTGAAGCAAAAACAAACAAACAAACCAAGTGCCGCCCCTTGAAAAGTGCCGCCCCAAGCACATGCTTGGAACGGTGCCTAGAGTTCAGTTCTCAGTGGTACCAGATGACAGAACAAGGAGTAATGGTCTCAAGTTGCAGTGGGGGAGGTTTAGGTTGGATATTAGGAAAAACTTTTTCACTAGGAGGGTGGTGAAGCACTGGAATGGGTTACCTAGGGAGGTGGTGGAATCTCCTTCCTTAGAGGTTTTTAAGGTCAGGCTTGACAAAGCCCTGGCTGGGATGATTTAGTTGGGAATTGGTCCTGCTTTGAGCAGGGGGTTGGACTAGATGACCTCCTGAGGTCCCTTCCAACCCAGATATTCTATGATTCTAAAGCTGACCCTGACTTCAAAAAGAAGATGAAATAGTTTTCTGGGGAGAAGGCCAGGGCAGGTGACTTAGCCTACTCTCTTGAGTCAAACAATAGGTCACATGACAGACATATTAACATTTGACACTGCAATATTCATCTGGGATGTAATTTTCCTGTTTCCTTGACTGGGTTCTCAGGAGACTGTCAGAAATTAATGCCTTAAATGCAAATATTAGACAAGGTGGTGAGGTAATATCTTTCAGTGGACCAACTTCTGCTGGTGAGAGAGGCAAGCTTTTGAGCTACAAAGGACCTGAAGAAGAGATCTGTGTAGCTCAAAAGCTTTTGCATCTGCTATCCTGGGACAAACATAGCTACAACAACACTGCAACCAACTTAGATGCAGATACTATACCAGTAGAGAGCCTTAGTTATAGTGCGTTGCATGGCTCTGAGATCTCGCATTTAAGTGTTCAGTGGCCGTAATGTTTAGTGAGCACACAGGAGTCTCGTTTGTCAGAGTGAAGGCACAGTGCTTTTTTATTAACAGCATCAGTGCTCAGATAAGTCAGCGTCTGCTCAGGCTCCGGAAAACATTTAGTGTGTTCTGGGCAAGCCCAAGGGTTAACACAGGGTTTATCATAGCCACTCCCAGATTAGCATGGTATTTCTATATCTGCATAGTCACTTCCATTCTACTTCTCCTTACAGTACCTAAATGAAACCTCCCAGGGCTCTTTAGATTTACGGACATGGGGGTCTATGCTATTGGAGCTGCCCACTGGTATACGTACTGCAGTATCCTGGCAATAGACAATACCTGAAGTTTCAGTGGAAAGCACTCCTCTTTGCCCTTCCTTTTTCCAAAGGCGTCGTGGGCAAGCATATTTTGAGGCTGGGGCTAGAGGATGGAGTTCCTTCCTGATGCCTGCTGTTGACTATGTCCTGAAGCTTTAGTATAATTTTTCTTGATCAGTTTGGACTAACCCCTTATATTAGCAGAGGCATATTGGGTATGTATTTATTCATGTAGCCATTCTGTCAGTTGAGATTGGATGAAGAGGAGCAACTGATCCATCTTAAACATTACAAATGCTTACGGTGTGATAAACAAAATCTGTTATCATTGTGAGTCCCTCTTTTGCTCTGAATTAATCATAGATATAAGATACAGAAGAGACATTCTGAGGTCTGTCTAGACCATCATCCTGCCAATGAAGGATTATTCTCTATCGTGCTCTTTAGTGCTTTGTGCAGGCTGATGTTAAATTGTCTGTCATCCTCGCCTTCCTCTTAGCTTAGCCTCTCGGGTCAACTGCTTTAAACTCTGCTGTATTGAGTGCTCTTCTATGGACTTGCTCGAGTTCAGAACTGACCTTTTGCAGGCAAGGTTACCACAGAAAAGGCCATTTATTCCCACTGGTGCCTGTCCCATAACCAGTTGTTTAATATGGGCCCAGATCAAACCGTTCCTTCTTTAGCTGCTAAAACTAGAAAACTTTCAAACGTGAGTGCTCAAAGTTAAGCATTCAGATCCATTTCTGGGCATTAAGATGCCAGTTTAGCAAAGCACTTAAGCACGTGTTTAGATTGCACTTACTTCAGTGGAATTTAAGCATACGCTTTACTGAACTGGTGCCTTAATAAATGCCCGACTTTCAGTGGAATGCACACCTGCAGATCCAGTTGTGAGCTCTCTGCACCTCTGCAGGTAAGACTATGTATTTAGATGCCTCAATATGGGTTTGGCTGGCTCCGTCTGAAAGGGTTAGTTGTAATTTCTGTAGAAGGCTTATACCAGGAACTTTTCCTATAATTTCTAGTACGTTGCATATTCTGCAGGGCCAGGACTTTGTGCTTTTGTTCTGTACAGCATTGAGCACACTATCTTTGTGAAAAATATAAATGGTTAAATCACGCCACAGCCACTGCTTCCACCTCGTATGCTGTTTTGCTTTCTTCTTTAGAGAGCTCCAGCAAGCTTAAATGGTGTGATTTCCCTTTCCAGTAACTAAGCTGTGTTAGGTCCTTAACAGGACCTCTTCCCTCCGCTAGCAAGAGGTTCTGTATTTATAACCTGCTCCTATTGGCTTAAACTGAAGTTTTGCCATTCATAGTAACAAAGGATCAGGTCCTCAGGCCAAGATTTTTCAAAAGTGCCTAGTGATTTTGAGTGCCCAACTTGAGATATCGTAAAGAATTTTCAGAATGTGCTGCAGATTAGCCCTTTTGATAATCGGTCCCTTTTAGGGTTGCCAATCCTCCAGGATTGCCCTGGAGTCTCCAGGAACTAAAGATCAATTTTTAACTAAAGATTGTCGTGTGATGAAAGCTCCAGGAATGCGTCCAACCAAAATTGGCAACCGTAGGCCCTTTACAACAGGTAGGCTGCTGGCAAGGTGAGACCACTGCCGATCATACTGACTAATAATGTCTCATTGTTTCCTTGCATGCCCCCATCTGTCTCCATCTGTGGTCTCTTTTCTTATACTTAGTTTCTAAGCTGT